TCAAAAGCTACATATATTAATAATCGAAACTACATATTAATAATTGTAATATTTTTTTATTATAATGTTTCTCTCCCATTGCCTCTTCCTCTTTGTCCCCTAAATAAAAATTTAAAATAATCATTAATCTTATTTAAAATACATAATTTAGTTAAAAATAATTAACTTACGCGTTTCTGAAGTGCCGCATATACCATGCGGCACGACTTCGCCCGCGTCCTTGTCCTCGTCGATGGTCTGCAAGAAAAAAAATAGTATAAAAACATCGCCAATGTTAGAAAAAGAGGAAAGACTTAATAATGTATAAATAATTTACTATATTGTTCCTGCAGCTGTTGCTGCTGCTGCTCCTGCGGCTGCTGCTGCTGCAGCTGTTGCGGCTGTCGCTGCTGCTGCTGCTGCTGCGGCTGTTGCTGCTGCAGCAACTGTTGCAGCACTTGCAGCTGCTGAAGCTGCTGCTGGTGCTGTTGTTGTTGCAGCAGCTGTTGTCTTCTTTGCTGCAGCAGCAACTGCTGCAGCAGTTTCTCAATATTTGATGGCTCCCCATCCTCGAGTAACATTTTTTCTACTTCTTCAATTTCTTCTAATATAATATTTATTATTCCTTATTGATATGAACCCATATCAGCAGGCATCCCGGTACTTACAACTTTTCGTTGATTCCTTTTTGCCACCTCGAGATGACGCTCGTCCACCACCAGAATCTTCGCCCGGGGCTCAAAAAGACAACGGCCTTACCCACGTCACGAGTCACCGCAACAATTGACGAAACAATATCCCGCGCGTCGTGAAGTGACTCGTGTCACGGCCAAAGAACGATTCTACCGCGAAATTCGGCCGTTCGCTATCTTTTCCGCGGTTCCGATTTTCCGGCGTTTCGCGGGAGTTCTCCCTCTTTCTCCGTCCCTCTGTACTACTGACCGTCCTCTGCCCTCAGCCTATTGGGCGCTGAAACAAAGCTAAACAAAATGAGTATGATACTTGAATAACTAGCGGGCCCGGAGCGGAACGCGTACGGTGATTTCATTGTTCTCCCAATGAACTTGTCGAGATTACCGTCAAAATATATATGTATGTATATATATATATATATATATATATATATATATATATATATA